CGTTATTTGGAAAAGCGTATAAAATCACTGTTGATAAAATTTACCAATGGCACGAAAATGGTAAAATGCTAAAAATCATGGAGAGGGACTGATTAGTTGTTTAGTCGAGTGGGTGCTTTTCAACGATATGAATTTTAAAACAGCAAAATGTAGAGGAACAAATACTAGAGCCGTTGATGAACTGGGCCTAGGATTATGGTAGAGAAGCAATAGAATGTGAGCTGTTAGCTGATTGCTATAGCTATGGATGTAAACAGTTTTTTATAAGAATAATATCTAGTTGAAACTTCATCAAAGCTTTAATGGGTACCCATAATTTAAAAGGACATTTGATAATGGGAAAGGGTATTCCACTCAGGAGCAAGAGAAGCTGGTGAGATGAGGGCAAGTACCTTTCTCAGGGAACAGATCTCTGATTTAAAAAACCAAATCATTTAGTGTCCTAGGGAAAAGATGTTGTGAGGTTCAGTATAGGAAACAGACTTGGGACAAATAAAAACTGGAAATAAGGCAACAGTGAAAATAATAAACCAATCTAACAGTTTACATAAGGACATGTTGAACATATTGATTGCTGTGAATAAAATATATTTAAAATAAGAAAAGTATGGTTTGTGTCAAATTGCAGTTGTGACTTTGATGCAGAATTACCATGTGAGGGTCTTTGTCCTGTTTTGTACAGCAGATAAACTAGGGGATCATAATTGTCCCTTCTAGCCATAAAATCTGTAAGTGTATTTGTAATCAGACTGTGGTATCCTTGCACAGATAATTCATATGACTAGTGTCATTGGACTGCATTTTGAGCAGGACTGGTAGTAGATTGAGTACTGCTCTGTTTATGCAACCTGCTATACTGAAAGACCTCATGCTACTGGGTAGCATGTCTGTTTCTAGTTATCTACCAAGATTTTGTGCAGATTTTACAAGCAGTGTTGAATTTTATTGTTCTATTGTATCCTGATATGAAATAGTTCTTGTGAGATGCCTTGTGTCTTGTAAAATCAGAGTGGTAGATAGACCAGAACTATGATTATGTTGCCTAGATAAGTTACTCTCAACAAGATGCTTTCTTATTGTACACATCAGGATATTCACTCTTTCTACTCCATTGTGAAAGGATTTGCAGGGATGCAAACCTGGCCAGAAAATTAGCAAGATTAGGATGATCATTGCCTTTGTGAGCAGTGAAAAATGACTCCTGGATATGAAATGCAAAAAACTATTTTGAAGAAGTCGTGTTCCCTCACTCTTACGTGGCAACCTTAATTTATGTGAATTGATACTGTGTTAAATAACTCATCCAGACGCTGCTCTTGGCAGTATTACCCTGGTAGTCATTATATAGGATGAGTTCTCTGAAATGCTTCCTCCAAGAGCAAGATACAAACAGGTTGTCTTCTGACGAGACGTGTGCCCTAGCTGTCTTATCCCCTTTAGTATTCTTCAGACATACACAATTACAATTGTTGATAGTGTGGATAGTGGAAATTAGGAGTCCTTTGGGTTTTCCATTAAAACTGGATTGGTTTTTGGTTTGTTTGGTTTAAATTAGGTTGTTCTTTTTTCCCATTGCAGCTTATAGCTTGGTTTTGTCATTTGTACAATGACTTACATGAGCATTTTGGTTGTTAATCTGAATGGATGAAACAGTGCAAAGTATTCTTCACAATTCCTGAATTTAGGAAGTAGAGAATCAGTAAATTTCAAAGATCGACAGATGATTTACTCAGTCCTTCTCCCCTCTGCCAGTGCTGCCCTTGAAATAGCAACAGTTAAGATTGCTTTGAAGTACACTAATCACTGCCAACATTTTGATCTAAAAGAGAAGGGGAAAAAAAAAAAAAAAAGGTTTGGAGTACTTCCCTTTGAATGATGTTATTTGGCCAGTGCTGCAGTGTAAAGGTGGCACAGTGTGTTGCTACATGTTGAATCCAATTGCAGCCCTTCAGTGTCAGATCTCATTTCTAGCCATGCAAGAGGTGGGAGCACCACAGAGACAGTGAAGCAAGGTGAGGAGATGCTTGCACTTTTTATCATTCCCCCTCTGTCAGTGGCTTATTTCAGTCTTCTGCATGTGGCATTTGTGGCGAGCTGTGCACAGATCTCCTCTGCTGAAAGGAAGCTCGCTCAGTGGAGAGGCCTTCTAAGGAAATGTGTAATAACTTCAGGGCTCTGCAAACAAAATAAGAATACATTGCTGTGCCCAGTACTTCAGACTGGGGTTACTTCGCATATGCAAAAGAACCATAGTGTCTCCTCTCGTTAGCTTAGATTAACTCACTGAAACTCATTTTTAAACTCACCTATTGCCTTGAACAGCTTCTGTATGTTTTAGCAGCATTGGCGGGTTGGAGTAGGCGATCTCCAGAGGTCCCTTCCAACCCCTACGATTCTGTGATTGAGTGATTAAAGCAGCTTTTATTATGGAATTCTCTTCTTTGCTGTAGATGCATGTTATCCAGCAGTTGACATAGCGCCTGCAATACTGGGACACACTTACTAATGGTGTCACTTGATGTGCAACGCCAACACACACTGAACTATCATTAGAATAAAAGGAAGTGATTAATACAGTTGTGTTAAAGATTTCCGCATAGGGGATGCTGTGGAAGAGCTTTTCAGTTAAGAGGAGTGAAAACTCAAATGTGAGAGCATTTAACCTTATAAATTCCTCTGTTTGTTTTTCACCAGTCTGACTGCTGCTCAGATGGTACTCAAAATGCCTAGGTTGTGTCAGAGGTCACTGGTGCCTGTTGTGTAATCAGCAGTAACTGGTGGGCCAAACAAGCAGCTCAGAAACATTGCAGTGTGTGCATGCTGCAAAAACAGCGTTAATTTTTGTCCACATTCTGACTGGCAGCACAGCTGTCGAGGTTTACATGCTCCCAAACAGTCCTGCAGGAATGCAAACAAACAGATAGCTGATGTCTTCTGGCCCCTTGTCCCAGCAATGGGGCTGTGAGCATGTGTGCACACTCACCTGAGCAGGGAGAAGCCCAAGCAGACGTGACACGTCTCAGGTTAGTGATTCCTGCCCATCAGGAGTTTGTCTTTGTGTGGCTCCTGCTGAACACAGCTGTGCATCTTCTTGGTGGAGGAGCAGAACTTAATTAGGTGATAGCGAAAAACTCAGAAGTTGCACTGAAATGTTTAATTCAGATCTCCTCCGTTAAGCTGTGCGGACCCAGGCCTAACCCTGCTAATTCCTACCTCTGCCTCAGCTGAAACCTCTTGTTTGAGGTGCTGCACTTTCCTCCTTGAAACAGGTCGATTAACGTGGTTGATGTAAAGCTCTCATGTCTCACCATTTAGCTTTGGGATTACATATGGATTTAGGATTTCTACTCCTTGTAAGTCACTTGAGCCCTGTCTGAGTTGCAGCACGTAACCAGCCACTGTATGGCCAGTTTGAGGGTTTTGTGGTGCATCTCATTAGTAAGTTCCTGTGATCAGTGCAAGGAGCAGCTTCCCAAATATCCAACAGCCTTTCAACTGAGCCTGCAGCTTATACAAAGAAAGTTGGAAAGCCTTTCAATTTTGTTTTAAGCAGATTTTGAGGTTATTTGAAAATGGGTAACTTTCCAGCTGGTTTGGTAAACTGCAGAATATCATAGAGCTTTTTTTTCTTTTCTTTTTTTTTTTTTTTTTCCCCACTGTGTGGAAAGCTTTTGAAGCATGTTTTTCCACCAGCATTCAGGAGAGGTCATTGTCTTTTGGAGAAAAAGCTATGTAGAAAAAACTATTTCTTCTTGTTGTTCAGCTCCCTGGTAGAAATAATTGTCAGTATTGGCAGCTTGCAGGTCTTTCACATTCCTGTCTCTTCCAGTGAGTATCTCCAAACTTCCTTTTAAAGGAGCTCTGTATTGCTCACAAGTGCTCCATACGAGTTTGGATGTACGTTTGCTTAGGCATACATTCTTTTTGGATATGTATTTATGTCTGTATGTGAATATTTATTGTGTGTGTAATACCTTCTACCTCTTTAAAAGTATAGGAAAAACAATAAAAGTTTATATGGGACTCAAACACTTATTTAATTCATGAAAATCATCTTATATGTTTTAAATCTCTATTCAAAGTAATCCTAGAAAAGCACTTATGATAGTTAAATTACACGTTTTACTACTTGAGCATTAGAAGTACCTTCAGTACAAATTTAAAGGACTGCAAAAACCAGTAGATAGTGCTAATTTCAAATACAGAAACTAAATTTATTTTGTATTTTATTTCTTTTTTTCTTTTTTATTTTATTGACTGCTTTTTATTTTAACTATATGTTCTTACATGCTGCAATCATAATGTAGTATAATGATATTAATATTTTATAGAATCCGTATTTATAGTTCTTTATTTAGAAACAATGCAGTAGGTCTGCAGATCTTTGAATCCTTCTGGAATGGTGCCCTCCAAATAATGATAAATTACTTGTGCAGTATGCCATTTGCTAATTATATCCATGATTTACTGCAGAGCAAGACTTAAATCATTCATTTCAGTCTTGCGTAACAGTGCCATAAAATTTTTAGGTTTAAAAATGGTTTCCATGTGTATAATTTAAACAAATTTTAGAGCAATTGTATACACAAAATATTGCAACCATCCATTTGTTACATTCTTCATCTCTCTTTTTTTAAAAAAAAAAAATTCGTACTTTTAATGATTACTGTGGTTGAAATTGTTATGCTTCATTTTCATAATCATAGCTTTTAATTCTACAACAGTTTTCTACATGTTAGATTAAGAAGAAGATGGCTAATTGTGTGTAGTTACCATGTCATTCCAGAACAGCCCCACATTCTGGAAACCCGCTTTAGAAACATTCAGTTTTGGAATTACTCTTCAATTAAAGGCGTTTCTTTTTTAAAAACGAATTATTAGCTGTAAGATCTTGTTTTTAGGAAGCTAACAATGATTTTATTTTATTTTTTTTCTCATCCATGCACCAAAGTGCAGTTAATTCTCCTCCTTTATATTTGTCTTTTTATGCATACACATAGGTGAGAAGCCTTACAAGTGTCCGCATTGTGATTACGCTGGTACTCAGTCTGCGTCCCTCAAGTACCACTTGGAGAGGCACCATCGGGAGAGGCAAAATGGAGCGGGACCACTCTCTGGGCAGTCTGCAAGCCAAGAACACAAAGAAGAGACATCAAGTAAAAGTTCTGTGTTTATTAGACCAGATATACTGAGAGGAGCCTTCAAGGGGCTTCCTGGTATTGATTTCCGAAGTGGCATGGTCTCACAACAGTGGGCATCAGGAATGCTGTCTTCTGGAGATCAGCAAGGACAAGCAGCTGGCATGTCATCTGAAGTATCTTCAGAAAATATGAAGGGTTCTGACATATCTTCCAAAGCAACACACTTCTCTGAACTTGGCCGTGCTTACCAGAATATGGTTGGGAACGGCGTGAACTTTCAAGGGTCTTTGCAAGCTTTCATGGACAGCTTTGTCCTAAGTTCTTTGAAGAAAGAAAAGGAAATGAAGGATAAAGCTCTATCAGATCCACTTTCAGCAAAAGCTTTGGGCTCAGATGGTGGTGAGGAAAAGGTCAACAGCAAGTCCTCCCAGAGAAAAACCGAGAAGTCGCAATATGAACCTCTTGACTTATCCGTAAGGCCAGATGCAGCGTCCCTCCCAGGTTCATCTGTTACTGTGCAAGACAATATTGCTTGGCATGGCTGCTTATTTTGCTCCTTTACCACTTCATCTATGGAACTAATGGCTCTGCACCTCCAGGCCAATCACTTGGGCAAGGCTAAACGTAAGGACAACATCATAGGGAACAACAAAGAGCAATCTAGAGAAGCTTCAGCCTCAGTTAACAAAGTGAGCTTGCTCTCTGCTTCTGTACAGTCCAGCAAAGAGGCCGTAGTTTCAAACATGCTTAGCCAGCTGGACTCAGCTTCTGAGAAAATGACCCAAGGACAAAATAAAGAGACCCTGGGAGAGCAAAAGAGTGCTGCCTGGCCCAGCCACATGGAATCCACTTTTTGTAATTTTACAACAGACTTCTATAAGCAGTTTGGTGTTTATCCTGGTGTTATTGGCACAGGAACACAAAATTCTTGCACCAGTAATGAATCTGAAATAAAACCACAGTCTGAAGATGACCCAAATATCCTGCTCTCTGACTCTGTAAATAAAAGTGCTACTGATGACCTTTCTGACATAGCTTCATCTGAGGATATGGAATCTTCCAAGGAGGAAAACATTGAAGATGAGGACATTGAAACAGAACCAGATATTATGAATAAGCAGTTGTCTGCCCTAAACAAGGAAAGCAGTGAAGGAGGCGACAACATTCAAAGTGCAGTCACCTCACAACCAGCACAAGGGCTCGTATCGCCACTGCCACAAGCATCAGAAAAGCAGTGGCACAGTCAGAATCTTCTATCCTCCCATGAAACTGCACAAGGAGTGATGAAACCCGAACAAGTTCAGGGTCCGCAGGTCCTGGAGAAGCAGATGAACATGTTGTCAGTCCTAAGAGCTTACAGCTCTGATGGCTTAGCAGCCTTTAATGGACTTGCAAGTAGCACAGCAACTAGTGGATGTATCAAGAGACCTGACTTGTGTGGTAAGTTTTAGACCTTCTTTTAGACCATTTCAGAAAACACTTGTGCAGAATCATGAAGCTGCTCTTTAAATATACTTAGTCATGTTTGTTAGTAATACATTTTTTTTAAATGTTAAACCCTGTGGGCCAAATTCTAGTCTTATATGTGGTCTACTCCATTGAAATCAGCAGTGCTGCATGCATATACTTACACAGAATTTTAGAAAGAACTTGCTTTTAAACCATAGTAGCAGCAGTATAGACTATCTGTGCTAGTGGCATCTGAAGGGGATATTTACTGCTTTAGCCTACTCAAAGGAGGAAAAGGTTTTTAAAAAATCACATGGTGACTTGCAAACTTTTCAGTATTCTGATACAAGTAAGAACCCAAGACAAACACTGGATGCTTTGCCAGGCAAGCCTTGCGTGTTCTCTGTCTATCTCTGTCTCTCTCTCTCTGTGCTTTTACTTGGGGTGCATTCAGTTTCCACGATATCCATTAAATCAAAGCCCAGGTGGATGGAATGCATCTACCTTTAATGAAGAGGTATTCTTTTCCTTTATCTCCCCCTCTCCTCCCTTATTTTTTAATAATTATGTTTTTCTGATTTCTTTCAATGGCAACTGTACAACAGTAGCCTTTGACAATTTTCACTGTCCTAACAGAGGTTGTACAAGTTGTGGTTTGCCTGATTAAAAATATGCCTCTGAGTAATTAAAACAACGGTGCACCAAACAAAGCCCCCCGGTTTTTTACCCTTGCAGTCTCTGTTATAGAAAACAGACAAAAAGGAAAGCTAAATCTGTTAGGAACAAGTGATGAGGACTTTTCAATTTATCTCCTGTTTTGTAAGCATAGTGCTCGCTTGAAAGAGTTTAGAATGTAAATCCGTTGAAAAACAGTATCACTTTAAAAAGCAGAGTCAGCAAAGGACACAAAAACTTCAGTAATGCTCTTGTTTCATTTAACCTTCAAACGAATCAGAAAACTCATTGTCAGAGCTGAACGTGCGTAAGAAAATGTATTCAAGTTAAAAAAAAAAAAAAGAAAGAAAAGAGAATGTGATCAACAGTTATAAAGCTCAACAGTTTAAAATGAAACCCTAAACCTGCAACCACTTGTGGGTGGTTACCCTGGTTAAGTTCAGGTTGTTAGGAGCTTTGTTTGACTCCACTGCTTCTTCATGCCTCTGCCTGCTTTTCCAAGTGTATTTGTTAATCTAATAGAAAAGTACAATTTTTCCCAGCAAAGTTTAAATTGGCTTGTATTCTTAGAGAGCATTTTGCCTTCACACTCCTGTCATTACCTAAACTGAACCCCAGTTGCAGGTATTTGCCAGTCCGTGATGTGAATTCCTGTGTCTCTGTTCACTAAGAGCCAATGAAGAGAGTTAGAAATAGTTCCAGATTCTTCAAAATCAGTAGTTAGATTTCTGGTGTTTTAACATGATTGGTACTTGCTTTCAGTTAGGAGCTGATAAAACCCTTGGATTTTTTTTCTCTGTATTTGAGGATTACAATCAATTGGGTTCCAAAAATGCATCAGAGAAAACAACAACTAAACAAAACAATTGGAAAAATAAGATCAGTTGCTTTATACAAAATATCTTTATACTTCTTCTCAGACATAAGATTTTTAAAACGACAAAAAAAAAAACACCTCTCACAGAATTATTGAAATGAGGTCATGTTACTTCCATTAGTTTTTTGTTTCATCTTCCAATCAATTCAGCAGACGTTTTATGATGGCTAGAGTTTATGTGATTTTAAAGACCATATCCCTTTCACAAGCTCTGCCCAGTGATAATGCGTTTGACTTGAAGTATGAAGGAAAAAAAAAAGCCAACAGAAGCTTGTCTGTTCTACTTTTTAAGCCATTTTAAAATGGAAAATGCAGCGCGAGTCCTCCTTTCTCCCCCCTCCAAAAATAGCTTTTTAAAATTCTTACTGACATTCTGTTGAGTATTTGCAGAACATAAGTATTAAGGTTGAGTATTTAAGTATATCGTTTCATTTTCCTTGATATCTCACAGCAAAAATGGATGAATATGAACAATCCCTGTGTCACTAGTTCTCATTTATTTCATTGATTTAGACACCACCCTATTGAAAGTAGTGTTTTTAGGGAGTTTTCATTTTCTCAGTGACATTTTGTACTGTGAAATCACACTCCATCTGTGCATGCTAGTGTGGGGAATCTCACCTGATGTTTCTGCACTTGCAGATTAGCCAGCAGGAGCGCTTTGCTAATTTATTAGCCTTCCTTCCCTCTTGCACAAAGCCCATGACCCGAGTCGTGGTTCCCTTTGTTTCTCCTACTCAGAGAGATCAGGAAGCCTGAGGCCCACTTCCAGCACCTGGTCCCGGGGCATGATTCTTGTGGCTGTTTGTGTTTTGGGAGACTCCATGTATTTGCCTTTCTTTTTACAGCCAGTGATGGGTGGGTGTTGGCATCTCAAGAGAGAGCACTGATACCCTTGATAACATTCCTTGCACAGTCTCTGGTGCCCTTTCCACAGTCAGAACAGAGTTGAAATAAGATTCTCAGTCAGCTGAGATTGCATCTTTGTTTGGCCACGTTAATTGCACTAAATTTCTGGCTTGATTACAACAAGCTGGGATTTTCAGTGATCTGCGTAGATCATTTTTAGTTGGCAGATTTTACCTTTAAGAGAATGGGTCCATTTTTAAGCACAAATCTTGGTTTAATTTCTAGAGGGCAGTTCCACCAATATACATTATTGTTCTGAATAGTCACCCCTCAGGGGGGAAGCAATCCTCAGTATACAGAGTAAGAGAGTCTGATGATGTGCCTATAATTTGTTTCTGCTCCTGTCATGCTTTAGACTGTAGGGGTGAAAGGCACAATTAGAAAAGAAAGAACTAGCATTACTTTGTAATAGAGAAATTTCCATGCCAAAATACTGCTGAGAAAAATCACAACAAATCTCCTTTACACATCTAGCAGAATAGGAAAGAACAAAAGGAAAATAAAAAGTATAATTGATAAATTTTTAGTCTCCTGACCTTTTCTAACTTAACTGTATTTGTTTCCAGAGTCTTAAATGACTAAACCAAGAGCTGATCTTGTTAATCTTTGCTACCATGCAGTCTGTAAGGACAGAGACGTGCCTTTCACTGCTGCTTGCAGCCAGCAGCCCAGGTCAGGGAAGGAGCCATCATGCTGGGTTTGGTAGCTGTCTTGAGCATCCATGTAGTCTGCTTTCACAGCTCTTGCTCAATTGAGAAGTAATGCTTGGAGGTTGTAGATCTACTTTCTATTTAAGATTTAGAAGATGCTTTCCATTTCTGCTCTTCTGTTTCTCTGCCTGGCTTCTGTTATACACGTAGCTGTATTGCGATAATGTTCCACCTCCTGGTCTTAAGTTGCTAATTTATATGATTTGCAGAGCATCTGTTTATGACAAAACTCTTTTTTGTCTCTCCTTCCCTTTAAGTCTTCCTGCTTTGTGGCTAAGACGGTAAAATATCCCTAGCATTTTCTGCTTGAGATGTACCTAGGCTTTCACAGAACTGCCGGTGGACTACAGAACTATTGGCCAGAGATGGTCCGGGGCATTAGCTGGTTGTTTAATGGATTAGTGCTATTGAACCCACACTTAATGATGACCAAAAGTATTAGTTCCATCTTGTCCCTCTAAATCTAATTTGCTTCCATTCATGCTTGCTTTCCTCTGCAATTAGTGCTGTTTTCTCCACATAGGCTCCACCTCCCTCACTTCTTTCACTGTATGAAAATAGGGCAGGGCCCTTCTAGTGCACGGCAGCAGCTCTGAAGTTCTCCTGCAAAGGGCTGAGCACTTTCAGTTTCCTTTTGAGCAGAAAGCGTTCAGCTTTGCACAGAATTATTAACTGTTCAGCATTGTAACTTTCTGAAATACCTTCCAAACGTGGAACTGTAGCACAGACAAGAGGGCTGGGCAAGGGGAAGATCGACTGTGGCAGATTATTACAGTTTTATTGTCACATAATTATAGTGCTGTACCCCAATGTTGAAATAGTGTATTTAGTCTTTGTAAATTGCTTCTTGCCACAGGTGTCAAAACCAAAAGGATTGTAATGCTAACCCCTTCAGAACTACCACCAACACATAACATGCAGAAAAAGATTTTTAATTGTGTGCCTTCACCTTATTGCAGCTCTTTAAAATTATAAAATCCACATTAAACAGAAGGAAAAGGCCTATATACCTGAGCTGTAGGACAGCTTTGTGGTCAGGGAAGGTCCTCGGGGCTGCAGCAAACTGCAGTGCTCAGAACCATTCAAATTATGCCCTACTGCGGTGAGTTAAGTAACCCAGCATTTCTGCCTTTGAAGGGGTAACCAGAATATTCTCCTTCAAGGCAGAAGGAAATACCGTGGAACCTTTGCTGTGGTCTTTTCTGTACCCAGTGTGGTGCCTGAGGAGGTTGCTTCAGTTGCAGCACAGGGCCTGCTCTCGGTTTGAGCACAGTGCTGCAGGGATCAGTGCCTGCCCTCGTGCCGGGCTGCAGCCACTTCTGGAAGTCGCAGTGCCATTTGCATGGCAATATCAAACCAAACTCATATGGCTTGCTTCCTTTTTTTAATTAACTGGGAATGCCAGTGATCCAGTGAAGTTTGTGTTGCTGGATAAAAGGGCCGGTCTGTGAATAGCATTGTATTTGCCAAATGGTTCGCTAGTCATTTCAGTACAAACAAATGGATGGTGTCTGTAAGTCTGCAAACACTGTTGACATTTAGCCTTGTTTATGTTACTTTCCTTTTGCTGCATATTTTTGGCTAGAAAAGATACTGTCTGAATCAACATTGACTTCCTAAGCAGAAGCTAAGGACCCAGTCTTGCATCCCTCATCCTCGATGAGTGGGACTACTTACATGACTAAGGATTGCAGAATCAGGTCCTGTGTTTATTTGACTTTAAGTTTTATTGCTGTTTTCATGTAATTTAATTCCTTTGTATTTTTTTTGTATCAGAAATCGGTCCGGCGATAAGTTCGATATCACTGTTTTGTTCACTG